GCAGTGCCGGGCCAGGGGTAAGGCCCAGTATTGACCCCAAGGAATGTACTGTCTGGTTGCTGACTCAGAACCAAAATGTGGACATTTAATAGCTATAAGAGCTGAGCCATCAGACAGGGTAGTGAGTGGCGTGTGAGAAAGACGTTTGTACTAGAACACACGAGACTTGCTGGTAGGAGAGGCCGGGTCAGGCCATGGCAGGAGGCGGGCATTATTATAAGACAGCGTTCTCAGGAACTTGCGGGAGCTTTAGGATGCTGGGATGAGTGGGCTGTTGCCATGGAGGAGGGGAGCCCCGGAGGTGTGTGCGGGGGGGATGGAGGGAGGATGGAGAGGAGAGCACTCCACGGGGCCGGGGTATGGCTAGGGGTGACCTTGGGCTCTGCGTTCTGAGAGGAGCTGGGAAGTGTATTTGTCTGGTCGGGCTGCCGTGGCTGGTGGCTGCTCCACGGGCTGGTGGCTCAAACAGTAGACGTTAAGAAGGTCAAGGTCAAAGTCGAGGCAAAGCTGTGTCTCCTAAAGCCTCCTTGACCGGTCAGTGGCTGTCCCCTCCCCACGTCTTTTCACCGTCGCCCTCTGTGTGTGTCTGTCCTAACCTCCTCTCATAGGGACCCAGTCAGATTGGATTAGGGTCCGCCCTGAGGCCTCCTGTTAACCGCTACTTCAAAAGGCCCGGCCTCCTAACACAGTCACCGTGTGAGGGACTGGGGTTCGGGGCTTCAGCGTGCGAACTTGGGGGACTGTAGTGCAGCCCATAGCGGGACGGTGAGCGGGGTCAGGGGGCAGAGGCCTGGGAAAGCTGTCACTCCGCGGCCAGCGACAGTCCCTGAGCCTCATTGTAGAGGCGGGCGCTTCAGAAAGGGCCCAGGATCCGGCCGCGGTGCGTCACTTGGGTTTGTTCGGGGGCCGAGGGAAGGTGGACATGAAGCCAGGAATCTGGTGGCTTTTGGGGAGAAGCTGGTGGGGGTGAGGGTGCCAAAAAGGGAATTGTTTGCTTAAACCGAGGTGGGAGAAGCCCCAGTGCTGGACCACAGCGCCTGCCCCTGCCCCTGCCCCTGCCCCAGAGCTGCCCAACCCCGGGTGGAGCTGTGCTTAGGAACCACTTCATACTTTAAAGGGGCATTTTCCAGATGTGGGAGGGGGCAGCCCCATGAAGTAGCTACTGTTGTCCTCCTTTTCCAGCAAGGAAGCGGGGCAGGGAGCGCCTTGGCCAGGTGTGAACCCCCAGGTCCCTGCAGGATTTCCGGGGCCCAGTCTGTGCGAGGGGCCGTCATTAGGCACTAAGGTGAGGGGCAAGCCCAGCGGGAGGGGCTCCTGGGTGTGCGGGCAGGAGTGCTCAGAGGAGCCCCCTGACCAGCGGCGGATCCCCAGGCCCTGAACGACCAGCATGGGCACCGGCTCAGGCCTGGGAGTCTGGGCACTTGTCTCCCCCACCTCCGAGGTGGAATGAGAACCTGGTCCTGCTGTCCCACCCGCTCAGTGACAATGGCCTCCGCGCCCTCCTGCAGAGGCTGCTTCCTGCCATACAGCACGGGGCCTTGGGAACAGAGAGTAGCCCGGCCCGGCTCTGAGAGACAGGGGTGCCCTGGGCCAGGAGGTGGGAGCCCGGTGTTAGCTCATCCTCTCTCCTGTGGGGCTTCACCGTGAATGGTCCCTGCTTCCCGGGCCAGCGCTCTGCCCGGAAGGAGGGCGCCACGTGTGCGGCAGCTCTGGGCAGGCCGGGGGTTTGAATGGATTGAACCCCCTCCACGGGGCCCTCCCTGGATGCAGTCAGAAGTCTGCCCTCTGAGCCACACACCCTAGTGCCAGGCTGGGGCTGCCACCACCTACCATCCCGCTCTCCTGGGGTTGAGAGTCCCGTCTGAGCCGAATGCTCTGCCCGGCCCTTGTCCCTGTTCTCCCTTGCTGGGAGCTGGGGTGGTAAGGGCCCCTTGCCACTGCTTGGCTCTTGGTGGCCCCTGGACCCAGAGCCTCCCCTCCCTCCCCTTGCGAGGAGAGCGTGAGCAGATGGCAGCATCAGGCCCTTGCCCACACCCCAGGGAGGGGCTGGCTTCTTCACCTGGCATTTTGCAGACTCTGCGTCGCTTCCTCCTCATCCCCAGCGGGTGGACAGGATGGCCTATTGGGACCCCTGTTCTACCTGCACAGCCACCCGGATGGCCTGGAAGCTGCCGGAATTCATTGCTGGTCCTGAGCCCACGTGTCACAGGGCTTTAGCTCCCGGTGTCACACATGTGCCTTGCCCCCGCCCCCCACCCCCCGGGCAGCCTCGGTGTCTTCCTGCCTCGGCTCGCTCTGCTGGGGGCCCTCGGGCAGAGTGGCCTTCTGTGCCGGATGGGGTCATTCATCCTCCCTCACACAGCCGCGGCCCTGGTTCCTGCAGGCGGGACCAGGCCGGGGACACGTGGCCACGGCCCTTCGTGGCTGGCGCTGCCGGCTAAGCACGCGGTCCTTTTGGGAAACAGCACGACACCGCGTGGCAGGAACCACGGAAGTGTCGACGCCCACGGCCTCCAGAGCCCAAGTCCGGGGGCTGGTCTGTGGAAACGACGTATCCCCACATGGGCCTTGTGTCTGGAGAGGCGCACCGGAGCCGTCTGTGGGGGAGGAAACTGGCACAATGTGAGCGTCTGAGCGGAGGCCACGTCGCCAGCCGGGGGACAGGACATGCAGAGTCACAGAAAAGCAGTGATGGCAGCAACCAGGAAGGGCGATAAAAGGGGACGCTCCCCGTGGTCCTGGCAGAGCAGACACGGACGCTTGTGCCGGAGAAGTGAAAGGCCAGCGGAGGGGATGGCCGTGGCCCTGGGCGGGCAGGCCTCGGGGGAGCGTGAGGGCTGGGTCTGGCATGTGGGTCGGGTGCCCCACGGAGGCTCCCTTCACAGCGACAGGCAGAGCCTGCCCAGCTGGCACCGTGCTGGCCCCGTGCTGGGCATGGAGGAGGCCAGTGAGGGGGAGTTGGTAGCGACACACCCCGGGGTGCTGAACACAGACCGGTGACTCAGGATCTCCTGCGGGTGACCCAGCTGGCCTTGCCCAGCGTGGTACCAGAAATAGTGCCTGCCCTGCTGGGTGCCGGTCAGGCACTAGGGAGGCATGGCTCCTGGTGACAGACGGGAGAGCAGGGCCCCGCAGAGTCCGGTCATTTCCGAAGCTCACGGCTCATGCGGAGCGAGCCCAGGTTCAGAGCCGGGCTTCAGAGCTAACGTTCCAGCGCCATCTGCCCTCCCCGCCCACTGTCCTCGGGAGCCACCTGTTTGTCCTCGACTGTGGCTTCCGGCCAGGCCCACAGCAGGCAGGTGAGGGTGGCCCCTTACAGTGTGCACAGGGCAGCGGTGTGTGACTCTGGATTCCTGGGCCTCCCCCTGGCCTGCCAGCAGCTTGTGTGTGACCTTGAACTGACCTCTTCCCCTCTGGGCTCGTGCCCATCGCCAGGGCCTCCGGCATCGCCCTCTCTGGTGGCAGAGAGGGAAGACGGACATGTTTCAGTTTCCCAGGGACTGAAGCTCGGCTCTGAACGGAACACAGCCCACCATCTCACCAAAAAAAGCCTCTTTCCCACTCCCGTCCAGAAATAAAGACGCAGATAAATAGGCACCGGCAGCCTTTTTGGGGAAACCAGAAATAGCTCCGGCTCCCAGTGCCGCCGGCCTCCTGCCTCTATTTGGGGCCGGGAGCCGCTGGCGGCGGTCAGTTTCCCAGGGCTGAGCCGCCACCGTCCGTCCCGTGGGCCTTGGGCTGGCGGTGTCTCCTGCCCCCAAGGTGCTGGCTTCACCGGTTCCTTCAACGCCTCCCCCTCAGCCAGGCGCCCTCGGTACCCTGTCTGACTGCGTAACCGTCCTCATCGCGGGCTGCTCCCGGCTGTGCGTCCGACAGCAGCATGTCGGTCAGTGGGCCTGTGCATGGGCTGTCCCTCCGCGGGGGTGAGCCTGCCCTCACACAGGCCCGTTCCCTTGTCCTGTGTCTGCTCAGCCCCACACCCCGGGGTGAGCCTGCCCCCACGCAGGCCCGTTCTCATCCTCTGGATCTGCTCAGTGTCGCACTGCCCCACACGCCCGCCCCGTTTCGCGCATTGTGTCTCTCGCCAGTGCCGCCTCGCTGTCCGTTCGACCCGTCAGTAACCCAGGATGTGCGTCCCCGTGAGCTCCTCGGGGTTAGTTGAGCCCCAGCACGTTCTTTGGTTGTGAACGGTGGTTGGGACCAAAACAGGAGCAGCAGTCGTTTCTGTTGTGATTCACGGACACTCAGGATGGACCGGATGCTCCCGCAGCGAACAGTCTGCCATCGGAGTCCGGGGAGGGGGCAGGCCGGGGCCGTGGGCTCCTTTCAGCCTCTGCCCCAGCTCAGGACTGGCTTCCCCGAGGCGAGCCCAGGTGCCCAGGTGAGGAGGAGGCCTGGCAGGCGGCAGGGCTGGGGGACTGGAGAGGAGAGGGGATTCTAAGGGGAGTGAGGAAGCAAGGCGAACAGGCAGGCTGACCGGACGGGTCGGGAGCTGCTTTGGCTTCCATGTTGGCTGGGTGGTGAGAGGGCAGGCTGGCCTCGCCGGCAGGAAGGCTGTGGGCCGCGCGCGCCCTGTGACCGCCGGCCTGGCTGCTCGGGCTGTTCTGTGACGTCAGTGACTCCGTGCACAGCCGCGCTCTGCGGTCATGGGAAGAGCCGATGCCGCGTGTGTAGGGCGAACATCCGGGCTGTGTGAGCGTTAGCATCCTCGCGCCCAGGTTAAGGCTGAGGAGGTGCAGGAAGGAGTGTGGTTTTTACTCCTCTCTGGTCTTCAGATTGTAGTTACATGTTGGCTTTATAATTACAGAAATGGTATCAGGAGGTGTAACTTTAAAGTATGCTGGTGTGTGTGTGTGTGTGTGTGTGTGTGTGTGTGTGTGTGTTCACACATGACTGGAGTTTGGGGTTTCAGAGCCGGGGAGCGGGGGAGCGGGGCATGGAGGTAGCCCCAGGGAGGTTCCTCTGCCCCCGGAGCGGCTGACGGCCTCCCTCTCCCGCAGACGACAGGATCTGCTCGCCGCCCTTCATGGAGCTCACGGGCCTGTGCGGGGACGACACCATGCGGCTCCTGGAGAAGAACGGCCTGACCTTCCCCTTCAGTGCGTACCCGGCCGCGCTGGGAGGCGGGCGGGCGGGCGGGCCCCTGGCTTACCCTGTGTGTGTGTGGGGGGGGGCGGGGGGGGGGTAAAGGCCGTGGCTGCCGGGGGGCATGGCCTGGGGTCCCGCTCCCCCACACTCTATGGAAACGGGTCCAGATCCCCCGAGTGCGGTGCTGGCCGCTGTGGAGTCAGCGTGTGGCCCTGTCCCGCCCGCCTCTCCCCGGGCTGTGGAGTTCTGAGTTTCCCCCATAGCTGCTGGGCTGGGGTTTGTGGACGGACGGATGGTTGGATGGATGGATGGATAGATAACCTTGCTGACTCCTCTGCTTCTCTCTCCTCACACCCTCCACCCACAGTTTGCAAAACCAGAGTGGCTCACGGCACCAACTCCCACGAGGTGAGTGGAACGTTTGACCACCTGACAGTCCCTGGGCCCGCTGAGTCCGCTCCACCCACCCTGCCCTGGCGGCTCTGTGGTCCGTCTGCAGCCTCCTGCTGCCTGTCCTGTCCCCAAGGCCGGATGGCTGTGCAGGACGCTGCTCAAGCCCCTGCCACAGCTTCACACCCACGTGACCTGACCTTGGTTTCCATGTTTTGGCCCATCGGTGTCACCACTCCCTGGTGCCTGCTCTGTGCCAGGCACGGGGCTGGGCCCCTCCTAGGGCTGTGGACAGAAAAGATGCCCTCACTGCCGACAAGGACTGGAGGAGAGGGCACCATTCCCAACCCCACCTCGGTGCCCGGGGAGGATGCTGAGGATGGGAGCTGACCCGGAGTGGGCGACAGTCCCTGGGCAGACAGCAGTGAGGGCGGTGGGAGGCAGGAGAGGAGGCCCTTTGGGGCAGGAGGAGCAGACGGCCGGCAGGGGCTCCGTGGGGCCTTTGCTGCCCTCACTGCCCTTGGGAGCCACGGCTGGGGCATGGCCTTTGGCCCTCCACGCCCGGCACTGCACCCTCAGGGGTAGGAGACGTAGAGCCACGGAGCAGGCCGTTGGGAGAGCCTGGCCTGGCAGTCACCGCCGTGGTCCCCGTGGAAGACAGATGCTGGGCCCTGACCCTGCGGTATTGATGGGGCACCGTCCGTAAGCACGCCTGTCGGCGTCCGCGGTGCGTGCTGTGGGGGGGCGGCGAGGCCGGCGTCACCTCTGAACGTGAGGCAGGCAGGGACGGCCCGCTGCAAAGGCCAGCTGCCTTCTACCGCGGGACCCCCGTGGGCCGGCTGGCTCCGTGCCCGTGTGCCCTGTGCCAGGCCCCCGAGGCAGCAGGCTTCAGAGCAGCCGCCCTGCCCTCCTGGGCTCCGGCACTGCCTGCCAGCTCCCGCCGGGCCCTTGCCACCACCCAGCAGTCCTCTCTGCGGCCGGGAGGGAAGGAGGACAGTCACAGGCGATGGGAGCAGCCCAGTCAGCACAGCCAGCTGCGCGGAGGGGGCTCTGCCGATCCCAAGGACCCGGCTGGTCCCAGCCCCGGCCTGTGTGCGGCCGAGCTGTGTGGCTTGGCAGTGGCCCGCCTGTCCCAGTGCCGGGCCCACACCAGTAACGGTGGTGACTGTGGAGGATAAGGGTGTCCCTGCGTAGGCCCGGCGCAGGGCGGGTTTGACGCACCTGCCGGTCCTCGCAGAGGGACAGAGGTTCAGACGGGCCCTCAGTGCCTTCTGGGAAGGCTGGGTCACCCCTCAGCCCAGCAGCCCAGCCCCGCCCGCCCCCAGTGCGCTGTTTCAGGGCGGGCTCCTCTGTCACCCTCCCCGGAGGAGGACACGGGCTGTGTGGCTGCGGGCCGCCTGCTGCTGGGAGGGGGTCCCTCCAGTGGGTGCCTCCACAGCGGGAGCCTGGGGGCGGTGGGGCAGGCTCCTCACCTCATCGGGTGCCAGGGGGTGAGTGCAGCGAGGACCCCGGCTGTGCCAGCTCAGCCTCTGCGGGCACTCGGTGCGCCTGGCTGCTGCTCACAGAGCTGTTCCGCTTGGTGTGTTGTCTGTAAGCCGAGATGAGCACCCTGCCAGGCGGGTGAGGACACGGAGCTTAGACAGTGTGCTGGCACTCGAACCCGTCTCTTCCTCTCCTCAGAGTGATCAGAAGACGGTCACTGCGGGGCTTTCTGTCTCCCATGGGACCTGGGTCTCTACTCCTTCCCCGTCCAGCTGGGCCCAGGCACATTGGTGGCTCTGTGGTTGGGGGCGGCCGTGGGGCAGGCAGCAGCTGTCCAGCTGTTATCCCTCCCAGCAGCCTCTCTGGGCCTGCGGGCTGAGGGACGAGCTGCGGCCGGCATGGCCGCTGGCTCACGTGGGCCTGCAGCAGCCTCAGCCAGCACAGGGCGGCTCTCCGGCGGCCTCTGCCCTCCCTCCCTCCGTCCCCTGCAGACCCTCCCGTCGGGACTGGGAGCAGCATGTGCCTGTCCGTGTGTGAGGACAGGGCTGCGGGCGGGGCAGCCCCTGAGCTTCTCAAGGCGAAGGTTTCCCTTTGGAAGGGCCCGGCTCCCGAGGCGTCTCCCGTGGTCAGGACGGGGCCTGTGGTGGTGCTCAGTGAGGGGCAGCCTCGTCCTCACAGGCTCTGACCCAGCCTCCCAGCTCCTGTCCCACAGGCTTCTGGCCGTGTCCCGGGCCGGGTGGAGGGTCCTCAGGCAGCCCTGAGGGTTGAGTAGCACAGAACCGGGGTCCCGTCCCCCGGACGGCAGCGTGAGCAGGGGGGTTCGCATGCAGTGCAGCCCGCCCAGCCCCGCATGGCGAGCCCGGTGTACGGATTTCCAAATCCCACGGGAGTGGATTTATCTTCTCCAGTCGCACTCCTCTCCCCCGGCCTGAGGGTCCTGTGGTCCCCGGCGCAGGCAGGGCGGGGTGCAGGGCGTCTGACCCCCGGGCCTGTCTCCCCAGATGGCCATCGTGTTCAACCAGGAGGGCCTGAGCGCCGTGCAGCCGCCCTGCGTGGTCCAGAACTTCATCAACCACAACGCCGTGCTCTACAAGGTGTTCGTGGTCGGCGAGTCCTACACGGTGGTGCAGCGGCCCTCGCTCAAGAACTTCTCGGCCGGCACGTCAGGTAAGCCGTCCGGCGCCGTCGCAGCCGGCCCCGAGCTCAGCGCCGGCTCGGACACGGCGGTGGCGAGCACTGGCCCTGACCCCTGTGTGTCTGTGGAGGGGAAGCAAGCATCTGGAGGGTGAGGGAATTGTGTGTGTAATTGTGGGGGGGGGGCTTTTTGGGGTTTACAGAGGTTGGAAAAGAAGCGAACACCCCATCCCATCCGTTCGAACCTCTGTAAACCCCAAAAAGCCCCCCCACAAGCTTGCTTGCTGGGGACCCTCTGCCATGAGACGCCGAGGAACATGCTGGAATGGGTGACGGCCCTGCAGGGAAGGGAAGGAGGGAGGGGCCCCTTCTGGTTTGAGGGCCCCACCACTATCTCCTTTTCCATCTGAGGAAAGTATCCCATCTCCTTTTCCAACTGAGGAAACACCAAGTCCCTGGCCGCTCTTGCAGCCACCGAGGCAAACGTGTGCCCGTCAGAGGCCGGCGCCCAGGGCCCCAGCTCCCCGCTGCGGGCCTCGGGCAGGCAGGGGGCACGACCCCTCGCTGTGCCCCGCGGGTGAGGACCGAGTCAGTGGCTGTTGTGGACCAGTGGGTGACGGTCCTACGTGCCCCTTGGGGGACACGGCAATGGTGTCCGCAGGCCGCCGCCGTCCATGGGGGCAGCTGGGGAGCCCTCCGGGCTCAGCTTTGCCTCCGCTGCTCCCCTGCTCCCTGCGGTCCGTGCCGTCGCGCAGACTGGCACGAGGATGATTTGCTCGCGTTGGGGCTGCTCCCACGAATGTCCCAGTGGCTCTGAAGGCGTCCCCCAGGCCAGTCCAGAACCTGCTGGAATGGGGGCAGCATCTGTGGAGAGTGGCTTTCTGGGCGGGCATGGTTGCGGCGTGGTTTGCTCAAGCTCTTTGTGCGCTCGGCTCAGCACGGGTAACCCCACTGGCGGGATCAGGCTGCGCTACCCTCTGCCCAGACAGAGGGGCCTCCTGAGGCCTCGCTGGAGCCGCCAGTCCGTCCTCCCAGCGCTCAGGCCACTCTCCTGAGCGCAGTTCAGCTTTTCCTGTCTTCCTCTCCGCCGCCTTCCCCTTTACACCCAGAGCAGGCGCTTGGGAAATGTCTTCCCGAGTGCGGCGGCCTCCCAGCCAGGCTGCGCTCCAGGTCTTGAGGCCCTTGTCAAGGGTCAGAGCATCCCCGTCCGCATCCTGGTCCCAGCCCCTTCCCACTGGGATTGGGTGACGTGGGGTGGAGGACAGACTCTGCAGGGGTCCTTTGGTTTGTGACTAGACACCTGCAAGAAGCATCCTTTATATACATATAATTTTATTGATTTCAGAGAGGAAGAGAGAGAGAGAGAGAGAAATGTCAATGATGAGAGAACCATTGATCAGCTGCCTCCTGCACACCCCACACTAGGGATCAAGCCCACAACCTGGGCCTGTGCCCTGACCTGGAACCCTGATTTCCTGGTTCGTAGGTCAATGCTCAATCACTGAGCCACGCGACCGGGTGCAAGAGGCATTCTTATCAATTGTGGGCCAAAAGGGGTTGATGTGGTTTTTTTTTAAATCCTCATTTAAAAAAAAAAAATGCGCTTTAAATCTTTGGAAATGTATTAGAATAACCGTACCTTATGTTGTCTCCTTTCTTTTTTCCTTAAAATCACCCCATCTCTTAAACTCACCAGCTTCCTCCCTTTCCCTGCTGCCCGTGTCCAGGGCGTGGGCTCCCCGGCTGTGTCTTCCTGTGGCCGTTTCCGGGTTGCCAGTTTGCCATAAAATGCGGGCCGGGGCCGAGTGAATGAGCACATGGCACGCCGAGCCGGTGGAGAGACGCTGTTGGGTCTGCCCACCACCTACCCCAGGGCTGAGTGCCCGCCGCTGTCTTCGGCACCGCCCGGGAGCTGGCGGGCTTTGTTCTTTCTGCGCGCGTGTTCCCCACCTGACAGCGGCCCTTGAAGCTGGGCCGGTTGCCAGGGGCCTTGGGGCTCCGGCTCTTTCCAACCCCACCCTCCTCTGGTGGCCCACCCGGCCCCTCTGGGCCAGAGAGGCGCCGTCCTGCCCCCCACACCTGTGCTCTGGCTCCTCGGTGCTCTCCATGTTTATGTTTTAATGTCTCAGAAGCCGGGTGTGTCCCACAGCCAGTGGCACCTGGCGAGTTGCGTCGACTGAAACTGAACTCAGGTTCTTACGGGGGTGGCGCTGGCTGTACCAGCCACCGGGGGCTCTTCTGTTCTCTGCCTGCGGGCCACAGTCCTGGGGAGCCCGCTCTCCGCCTCCACCCCCCGCCAGTGTCAGAAAGGCCGCGTCCTCTGCGGACACAGCGCCTTCACTGTGCTTCCCATCCGAGGTCTTTTTCGCCTGGGGATACAGACAAGAATGGTACCACTTCCCACGGAGAGGATCAGCGGGCGTTTTTCTGCAAAAGGCCAGATAGTAAACGTTTCCAGCTCCATCGTGGTTATCTCACGCTGCCACGGGAGCGTGCACGCACTGCAGGCGCTACGTGAATGAATGGGCAGCTGTGTTCCAATAAAACTTTATTTACAGATGCAGGTGGCAGGCCGGGCGTGGCCTGCAGCCTGCGGTTTGCTGGCCCCTCGCCTAGAGCCTCTGAGGGAGCCAGCAGTCAGCCACACGTCTTGCCTTCCCGGACTTGGGTTTTCCTGCTCACGAGGAAAGGAGTAATAAAAGGGTTAATTGAGGCACCAGAGAAGTGGGTCCCGGGACACCGCTGGGTGAAGGGCAGTCCAGGCAGGCCCCCCTGCAGAGGTGACCCGTGTATGGGAACCGAACCAGACCTGGGCGGCCATCCTCAGCTCTGTGACGTCCCCACCCCCTCCCCCAGAGGGAGACAGGGGCTGAAGGAGGTGTGGCCGTGGCTCATGGCCGCACCAGTGGTTACAGGATATTTGGGGGCTGATCTTGTCGTTTACTCTCCTTATTTTGAACCTGCTGTTCTCGTCTGTAAACTGGGGACAAAAACACCCATATCCCTCTTGTTGCCTCCCGCCCCTGGTGACGGCCCTTCCCCAGGACAGTTTGGGAGCAGCGGGTGGATGGGCCCCCACATCCAGGCTGTTCCTGCCATCAGAATGCCAGGGCCTGGCCAGGGCCATATAGAGGAATGGGTATCTTTAAGAAAAAGAGCTCAGCCGAAACCGGTTTGGCTCAGTGGATAGAGCGTCGGCCTGTGGACTGAAAGATCCCAGGTTTGATTCCGGTCAAGGGCATGTACCTTGGTTGCGGGCACATCTCCAGTGGGGGGTGTGTAAGAGGCAGCTGATCGATGATTCTCTCTCATCGATGTTTCTAACTCTCTATCCCTCCTCTTCCTCTCTGTAAAAAAAAGGAAAAAGAATCAATAAAATATATTTTAAAAAAAGGAAATGAGCTCAGCGGGGCCGGGCCCGGCTGGGTGCAGAGTGAGAAGGTGGGCAATGCCTGCTGAAGGCCGGAGTGCCCGTCCCAGCAGCTCGAGCCTGGCTCCCGCCTCTGGCCCGGGGCTGCTCTGCCCCCACGGCCGCCCTCGGCTATGGTGCTCAGGAGTAGAGGTCGGTGAGCTGCTCGGCACGAGTCCTGCCGGGTGTTTATTTTCCCCAGGACGGGCTCTCGTGCCCCCGGTCTGGACCGGCTCTGGTTGGAGCGGCGGCAGGACTGGCAGGCACGCCTGGGCGGCAGGGGGCCTGTGCGCCTCGCTGGCGGAAGGACGCCAGGTACATCTCAGCGCCTGCCTGCTTGGCCTCCGCCCGCGTCACTTCCTCGGGCACGATCGTGGCGTCGCCGTGGTCCCCAGCGGGGGCTGTTGGCAGCCAGAGCAGGCTCCCCTTCGCTGGGCCCTGGCACACGATGTTGCCTGGGGGCTCACGGGGGTGACAGGCAGCCGTTCCCAGGACCTGGCCCCAGCTCGTGGTTTGCAGTGCTGGCGTTCGGTGCCCACTCTTCCGAGTGCTCAAGGACATGTTTCTGCCTGGCCCACGGCCTTCGTTTCCTCCCCCATGGTGAACCACACACCGGCCTCGTCGCTCCCTTCGTTCTCGGGACCGGCCTGCCTGGCCGGGTGGCCTGGGGGATTGGGGGACATGGGGTGCAGTGGAGGTGAGCATGGGTTGGGGAACAGGGCGGAAGGAGGTGGAGGGCATTTGAAGAGGCCATGCCAGCTTCCAGAGTTCCCTACAGACGCCCCCGTCTGATTTCTACTTTCCCCCAAGCAGCGGGGAAGCAGCAGGACCCTTTGTGTTGTCAGCGTCCTGTGCCCAGTGCAGCCTCGCTGTTTCTCTGGTGCTCCTGGGAACGGAGGCCACGGCAGACACCAGGAGGGCCGGGAGGCTGGGCCAGTGGCCATCCCGGCCGCTTCACCCAGCCTTTGATAGGCGGGATGCGTCTTTTCCTGCCCACGCAACCACACACCCGGCTTTCTGATGCTGTGGCCACAGGACACAGTGTGGGGATGGGGCAGGCCTTCAGGTGCTGGAGAGAACCAGACCTTACCCCGGTGGCTCACTCAGCCCGGCGGCGTCTTTCTTTGCGAAGGAAATTTGAAACACGAGTCCTGAGCGGGCATGTGTCCGTTTGTGGTGGAGAGTCTCCCCGGGGTGGGGTGCCCAGCTCGCTGGGGTGTCGGTGGCTGCTGCTGGACACAGAGCCGGAAGGCTGATGCGGCCACCGTCACTTGTGGCCGGGGCGGTGCTGCCCCCTGGTGTTGGGCGGTGGCGTCGCCGTCCCCTCTGAGCTGCTAACTAACTGGCTTCTCCGTGTGTTCGCTTTTCAGACCGAAAGTCCATCTTCTTCAACAGCCACAACGTGTCTAAGCCGGAGTCGTCGTCGGTCCTGACGGAGGTAGGTCCCTCTGCCCGGCGGCTGGTGTGAGCTGGGCCGTGTGCTCCGGGGTGCAGGTCTGGGGTGGAGCTGGCTGCCCGGGCAAGGGGCCCAGGAGGCCTCTGGCTTGCTGGCCCCGGGCGTCGTGCTGACGACCTGCATGCCCAGGCCTGCTCACCACCAGGTCAGGCCAGGGGGGTTCCAGCTCTCCTCCGCCAGGAGGAGCTGATACCCGGCTTTTACTGATTTAAAGGAAGGGGCGAGAGGCAACGCCAGCTCCTTTCTCTTTCCTGTCTGCGTGTGTCCCCGCGTCACTTCTGTGGGTGCTGCTGCTTCTCGTGGTGGTGAGCTCAGGGCTGCTGGTCAGTGCTGCTATGTCAGGCTCCCTCCCGGATGCCCTGGGGCATCGCAGCCAGGCCTGGAGCAGCCCCCGGGGCAGGGAGAGGCACAGAGAGACCACGTCTGATTCTCAGTCAGGGCCCATGCCCAGGTGATGGGCTCATCCCCGGTGGGTGAATGGCGGGCAGAAGGCAGCCCATCCATGTTTCTCTCTTGTCAATGCTTCTATCTTTCTCCCTTTTTCCTCTCTCTAAAATAACTAAAAACATATTTTTAAAGGAAGGATTTAGAAACGGCCAGTCCTGGTGCTGGTCTGTTCCACCCCTTGTATGGGGGTCTCTCTGGTGTGGTTTGCGCCTCCCCACTTACGGCCTGCCGTGTGTGTGTGTGTGTGTGTGTGTGTGTGTATGTGTGTGTGTGCATGCGCACGCGTGTGTGGTGTGTTGCAGCTGGACAAGATCGAGGGCGTGTTCGAGCGGCCGAGTGACGAGGTCATCCGCGAGCTGTCCCGGGCCCTGCGGCAGGCGCTGGGCGTGTCTCTCTTCGGGATCGACATCATCATCAACAACCAGACCGGGCAGCACGCGGTCATCGACATCAACGCCTTCCCAGGTGAGCGGCCGGGCTGGTCTGTCGGCGGAGCCTGGGGTAAATGCAGCCGCCGGGCCTCGGCCCCTGCCAAGGGGGCTGCGTGTCGGGGGAGAGGGAAGGTCGGGGCCGGACATCGGCCAGGTGGGCCCGCAAATGCGTGTTCTCTCGCCGCCTCTCCTGACACTGACCCTGCACCTTCAGCATTAGCTGCTGTTGGCCAAACCGTAGCCGAACCCTGGGTCCCTTGGAGACGTAGAGCTGAAAGGACGCTGGAGGGAACCCCCAAGGTCTTCCAGGGCGTGGAGCCGCCCAGAGAGGAGCTGTCCTGGATCAGGCCTTATTGGTGCAGGGCTGTGCTCCTCACCCTCCTGGAGCCACTGTGCTCCCTGTGGCAGCACGTGCTCCCTGCTGTCTGCTGGAGCCCCCGGCAGGGGAGCACACGCCGGGCCCTCCTGGTCTCGCCTCAGCGGGGGGCTCAGTGGGAGGCACCATCACTGTTTGGGGGGCAAGGAAGCCCTCACGCACAGGGAGGGCACGCAGGGCATCAGGCCATGGTGAGGCGGCGTGCTGGGCTCCAGGAAGTCAGAGCAGTGGGTGGCATCAACACCCGCCACGCCAGGCAGCCCCGGGAGCTCTGCCCGGCTTACCGGTGGAGATGGGGAGGCGGGAGCTGGGTGGCTTGCCCAGAGTCACCGCTACCCCGTGGTAGAGCCGGGATGGCCTGCGCTCCTGACCACAGCCGTCTGCCTCTCTCGCCGGCTGCTCCATCTTGGCTCTGCCTGCAGCCCGATGGGACGGCCACCCAGCGGGGGCAGTCTCGGTGCTCCCTCTGCACCGCGGGTGTTCCCACCTGGTGCCCTGGCTGGTCCACCTCTCAGGTGGAGAGCTGTGGGCCCAGAGCGGCCTGCACGGCCTCCTGTCCACCCTCAGGCCTCCGTCCACACCAGCAAGCACACACCCACCCGGGCCTCCGGCCTCACCGGGGCAGCAGAGCAGTTGCATCCTGACGTGGCTCCAGCCCCTCCCGCGCTGTCTCCCCCCTAGAAACTGGGCACGCCTGCCGGTGGCTCCCAAGGGGCCTGGGCCAACCGCCCTCCTCCCCAACCACATGGGATTCAGGCGCAGGTGGGGCCAGAGCGCCTGCTTCAGATCCTGGCTGTCGCTCGGAGGCCGGTGCTCCGTGAGCCGTGGCCGCCGTCACCACCTCCCCCCTCGTGACTCGTCCCATGTCCTCTGGGCAGCTCTTGGGGCCTCTGGGGCCAATCATTGACTCTTCACCTGTGATGTGAGCGGCGAGCTGTGACGTTAGGCGAGGGCACGTGTGTGCATGGAGGCACTGAGTGCAGCTCCTTCACCCACCGTTACTCACTGCGGGCACCGATGCCAGTGAGCAGACCAGGCCGCCGCCCTCCAGCAGGGGGCAGGCCTCGCTGTGAGGCCCGTGCCCCTGGCTCTCACCGCGGTGGTGGGCACCATGCGTGGGCGGGTGTGGGCAGTGCCAGGCCCTCTGACGCGGGCACACTGGCCTTCAGGGGCTCGTTTCACTCCTCACCCTCATTCTCGGGCAGCCCTTTGCCTGGCTCCTGTCCTGCCACGTTGGCTCAGGACGGTGGGGCCACCCACCAGCTGGCGTGTCTTTTAAAGTAGTTTCCGGGGAGTCAGCAAAATCCTGGCCCCAGATCCCCGTTCTGCGCGGCTCCCAAGGACTCTGCTGACACGTGCATTCGCCTCTGCGGCGGGAAGTGCAGGCGAGCAGGTCCCGCTCGGGACCCTGGGCCGCCCCCCGTGAGGGAAGCGGTGCCGTGTGTGGCCTCGCGGGGCGCTCCGCCTGCCCGCCCCCTGCACGTGCAGTACCCCGCAGGTATTTGGGGGCGAGGACTCGGTTTTGGGAGCAGCTGCTACGGGTCAGGCCTCGCCCACTCTCCAGCCCCCTCTGTGGTGCCCACAGGCATCTCCTCGTGTCCTCAGCTCTCGCAGGAGGACGCTGAGGCCGGCCACGCGGCGGGAAGGGCGTTAATGGTTCAGAACGTGAGGAGGAGTGGCCTCCGGCCAGGCCCCCGGTGAAGGAGCCGCGAAGCTGTGCCCGGGAGGGACAGGGTGGAGGAGCTTCTCCTCGGCTTCTCCCATGCCGGGCAGCACATCCAGGGCCCGGCCCTTCGGAGCCACGGCACCAGCTGAGTCCGGCTGTGTGACCTCCCGCAGCCTCATCCTCCGGGCCTTCCCCGCTCGGGCTAAGCCCGGTCTGTCCGTCTCTCCCCCAGGCTACGAGGGCGTGAGCGAGTTCTTCACGGACCTCCTGAACCACATCGCCACCGTCCTGCAGGGCCCGAGCGCGGCCCCCGCGGCCGCCGGGGCCTCGGCGCCGCTGCGGCACAGCCGGCTGCTGGCGGAGCAGGCGGACAGCCTGGCGGGCGAGCGGACGTGCAGCGCCGGCCCCGGCTGCTGCGGCAGCATGATGGGCCCGGACCCGCCCTGGGCCGCCGAGGACGGCGCGGGCGGCGCCGCCAAGCTGCCGCACCAGAGGCGGGGCTGCACTGCCGCCGTGTCGCCCGGCTTCCAGCAGCACTGCGTGGCCTCCCTGGCCACCAAGGCCTCCTCCCAGTAGCCACGGAGCGCAGGACCCAGAGGGCGGGCGGCGCGGGCCACGGAGCAGCCCCCGGACCGGCATCCTCCCCGGAACTCCCGGCGGCCTGCCGCCCCCATGTGTCCCTGCTTTCCGATGTCACTGTCTGAGTGAGGGGCGGGGGTGGGGAGAGCCGGGGTCCGGCTCCCGGAAGAGGACCCCTGCCCGACTCCTGCCGCGCAGGCCTTCACCCGGCTCACACGCGTGTGCTTCAACACTAGGTCTGAGTGAGGGGCGTGTACACGTGTGCGATTGCTGTGCGTGTGCGAGTGTGCGTGCACCTCCGTGTCCTGGTCTCGATGGCTGCTGCGGACCGGGCTGGGGCCCGCAGGGGCCGCCCCTGCTGAGGCTGCGGGCGCTGGACGGAGCCGATGGACGGTTCCCCTTCACTCTCCTCCAAGCCCCACCCAGGCCGGCCGCCTCCCGGCTTTGAGAGGAGGGGGGGCCCCAAACCCCACAGCTACACGGCTGCCCTTCCCGGAAGCATGAGCCCCGGAGGGAAGAGGCCGCAGCTGCCGCTCGGGGGGCGCCGTGCTGGGCCTGGGCTGTGGCCGCGTGCTTCCTTCTCCCGGAGGCCCCGGAGGCCAGGCCGTGGATGCTGCCTCCCTCCCGTCCAGCTCCCTGGAGCCCCTCCGCCCCTCACCGCCTGCCCACAGCCCTCAGGGCTCTTCCTGGACCAAGCGCTGCTCGTCGGACCCCGGAGCAGGCTGCCTGGCGGGTCCCCAGGCTGACCCCGCCCGTGCCAAGGATTTGTGCCATGACTTTGGGCAAATCACTCTGAGATCGCCAGGCCTCCGTGGAGACCAGAACTCTGAAGGGCGGGCTTGACGCCCCAGGCCCTGCGACGCACCTGCTTTCCCGAGAAGCGGACCTGGACGGGCCTGCCCTTGGCCCCGAGGCCACGTGGGGTCCCCCTTCCAGGCAGGAGGAGCCGCCCACCCCCCCTTACCCCACAGGCCCATCCCCTCCCGTACTCACTTCAGCCGCCAGCACTGAGCCAGCCCGCGGGGAGGAGGGGCAGGGAGCAGCAGCCTAATCTCCCCAGCCAGCCCCCCGCCCTGGGGCGCACACAGGCCCCGCTGGTTGTCGCATCCCCAGGCCCACGCTGGCCGCCCTCCTCAGAGGAAGACAGTGGGCTCCGGGAGAGATGCCAGGACCTGCCACCTTAGGTACCAGTTGAGTGTGAGAAGGAGGAAAAGGCCTGGCCGGCCCGCGAGGCCGGGAGGAGGGCCGGAGGCTGCTGCCTTCAGAACTGCCCGCTGCCCCGGACGCGGGCCTGCTGACTAACCGCGTTTACACGGCCGAGTGGAACCCATTACAATGTCTGAGCGTCACTCCGGCTGCCCGAGCCCTGGGCAGCGGGGCGCGTGGCCGCCTCTTGCACTGCTTTGTCTCCAGAATAAACTACTGAAATCCAACCGCCCCGTGCGTGTGTGCGTGCGCAGTGTCGCCAGAAGTGTGTCATCCCCGTGTCCTGATAAAACGGCTTTACTTTTTGAATGAAATTCCAATCCCACGTAGCCTGCAGAGCAGGTGGGGCCTGCGGTGGGACCCTGGCCGCGCCTGGCCTGCGTGATGGGTGTCGCCCTCGGCGTCACACATGTTGGTACCCAGGCCCAGGTGTCCGGTGACTGCTTTCTGGTGACGGCGTTTTCCGCTCGCCTCCTGCGGGTGGCGGGCACGGTCGTTGCCTTTTCCCGGAATGGAAGCCGAGGGGGAGGTTTGGCAGCATAAAGGCGGGAGCTGGCGGGGGGTGGGGGGGAGGCCAGCTGCACCCACACATGTGCAGGCCTCTCCCCTGGGCTGGGCACCACCGTGCAACCAGCAGCAGCCATCTCTGGAGGGTTTGGGGGGCCAAGTCAGGGAGCGCAGTGGAGGGGAGGGGAGGGGCTGCGAGGGATGAGCATCCCCATGTCCGCGGGGTGCACACTGACACCATCCACAGAGCAGCTTTCCCCTTGGGCCTGCTTGTCACCGGCCTCCACCACACGGGGCTGAGGCCCTGCAGCATCGGGTGGCACCTGGCAGGGCCACCTTGTGCTGAGGCCTTGGGTGGGTCACAGGTTCCCGGGGGAGGCTTGTGTTCTTGGGGATGATGATGGTGTAATGATGGGCCCCATCGGAGGCAGGCACCGTGTCTGTCCCCCCAGGAGCCCAGAGGAGTCTCGGGGCTGGCAGCGCCGTGGGCGGGGCTGAGCCCGGAGCCAGCAGCGTCACTGCAGAGGGCAGGCCCCGCTGGCCGCCCTGCGTCCGCGGAGGGGACCTTGGGGGAGTGACCTCCGCTCCGGAGGCTGGGCTTTGTGGGGGGCTGAGGGCCCGGCCGGAGGCTGTGGTCTTAGGCCAGCTGGGAAAGCGGCTGCTGTCTGTCCTCGCCTGGAAGGCTGGCCCTCGGCTTGGCACTCACCCTGGCCACTGCCAGGCGTGCCATAGAGTGGCTTCACTGGGCTTGGCATCTGCTCTCCTTCGTGCCCGGGAAACGGGTCCTCCACCCGGTGAGGTCCTGGCAGCCCCGCCCCCTTCTCGGGTCACAGGTCACGGTGCAAGGGACCTTGAGCCGGGAGCAGGCTCCCCATCATGGCTCACCGAGAGGCAGAGAAGTGCATTGATTCTCGACAGCAGTCCTGGCCGCCTCCCTCCTCGGGCCACCTGGCCACGCCCTTATCCCACGTACATCTGCCCAACCCGAGCCTGTGGTGGCGTGGCCTCAGATGGAGGGACCCCCTCACAGACTGCTCAGAGGGAGCTGACGGACGGTACCCCGTGGGCCCTCGTCCTGGCCACGAGGGGCCTTTGCCAGCGTGGTCTCCTCTCCCTTTCCTTCCGGACTTGGCCCTGACCTGGCAGCGGAGCCTTCTCCCAGGGCTGTGTGTGTGTGTGTGTGTGTGTGTGTGTATTTGGGGGGGAGGCACCCCTTCTCCCAGGGCCGTGTGGGGAGGGGCAGACGGACCCTTTTTCCCAGGCCCGTGGCGGGGGGGGGGGGGGGGGGGGGGCAGAACCTCCGCGGCTTCTCTCCCAAAAGGCTTGTCAGCAGGCAGGGCCTCACCAGGCTGGCAGCCCTGGCTTTGGTGCTGGCACCTGTGCTCTGTGACAAAGGCCACGGGCCTCAGCCCTGTTCCCAAACAGTGCTTCCCAGAGCCCCAGGCTGGCTCTGACCGGCTCTGCACATCCGTGCCCCTGCCTGACGCTTACACGGACAGGCCCACCACATGCAGAGCGCGGCTCCCGGGCAGCCGGGAGCACCTGGCCCCGCGGCTCTGTGTTGCGTTTGCCCGTGAGATGGGGTCATGCCCGCAGGCGGCCGCCTCTGGGAGGGGTCGCTTCGGACGAATTCCCTCGTTCGCCGCCTGGTCTTGGGAGTGGGGGTCCGATACTTGACTGAGCAGTGGAACCCTCCCCGCTCCACGCGAGGCCCAGCCTCGCCAGCCCCTCCAGGGACCGTGTTGGTGTCACCCTGGTCTCCTGTCCCTGTCTGCCTGGGCCTCTCGAACCCCCCCCAGGATCTGCCAGCTCCACTTGGTGGCGAGGAAACCAGGGCTCGGAGAGGGCCGGAGCGCTCGCTGGGCCGGGGACTCCAGCTCCAGTCTGCCGCCAAAGCCCGCGTCTCGGGGCTCCGTCCACCTGCGAGCTCAGGGCTGCGGGCCCACAGAGGCCACCGCAGATGTCCGCCGAGCGCCCCGACAGCCCGATGCTCGGTGGGTCCACACGGGTCCGCACACCCGCCCGGTCCCTTCTTACGTGTGCCCTGTGCCCCCGGTGAAATGCTTGGGGCGCCACCCCTGCCCATGGCCTCGATGAGGCCTGTGAGCCTCAGCGTCCTCATTCTCAAAGCTGAGACGGAGCCCTCGTGAGCCGTTACACGTGCAAGGACTTCAGATGCCCAGTTCCTGCCTGTGCCAGGGCAAGATGGCGCTCAGGCCGCGGGCGCCCGCGGCAGCCACTCTCCCCGCCCTAGGAGCGCTGAGGCTGTCTCCCTCCCTGACCCCGCCTGCGGGGGGCCCTCTCAGGTGTGGCTGGGAAGCGGGGGAGCGGAAGGAACCCGGGCCCTTTGTAGGTGTGGTTTAACCCCCACACGCTTGGAGGCCGATGCCAGCGCTCGGTGACACAGGAGATGGGACACTGGTGCCCGGGAGGCAGCCCTTCGCCCCAAATCCCACGGCTAAGGAGCTGCCCAGAAAGGACGCCCCAGGGGGACGGGACCTCCCCGCCCCTTTGCCAGACCCCCACCCACGCCACCCCCGGAGCCAAGGGGGAAGGTTCAGAGAGACCTGAGCCCGGAGCAGGTTTATTTTCCTTTGCGAGCTGTGTGCAGGGTATATCCAGCCAGGATGCTCCCCTTCCCCGAAAGGTCGGAGGTTATTGCCGTTGTGCCCTATGGCTCTGGTGCGGAGGGGAAACTTCTAGAGAGCTCCCCGTGCTCAGAGAGGATCACCGTGTGGAGTGTGGGGTCTGCCCCGCGGAGGGGCGCCGGGGGCCGGGGCAGGGGAGAGGAGCGGGGGGGGGGGGCAGGGGGCCTGAGCGCGGGGACCGCAGAGCCAGGGCCTCGGTGGCCGCGGGGCCTGGCCAGAGGGGCTGGTGGCCCTCAGCCCCGCCGCAGCGCCTGCAGCTGCCGTGACACCTTCTCCAGCTCCGCCTCGATGGCCGACAGACTCTCCAGCTCCTGGTCCTGGGGGAGAATGCCGAGGGTTATGCGGGGCCTGGCTGGGCTGTGCCAGCGTGCAGATGGGTGGCATGGCTAGCTATGTGGCCTGGGTCATGTGGCCTCAGTCATGTGGTCTTGGTCATGTGGCCTCGGTCATGTGACTTTGCCTCTGAGCCTCGGGGCCTCTGTGTACCACGTGGACAGTGATGCCACTGGACAAGGCTGCTGAGGAGTATTATGCAAGAACACGGGGAAAGGGGGGCCCCCACCCCAATGAGTGAGGGGCCCCGAAGCGCCTGCCAGCTCCCTTCTTCAGTCAGAGGGAGCCCTGGGCTGGAGGAGGAGGAACAGGGACCCCTCCACCCAGCCTGCTGCCTCTTGAATGGCTCAGGGGGTGCTTGGGAGACATTGCCTCTGGCTCAGTCCTTCCAGCCCCCCTCGACCTTGGCTCTGACGACAGCTCTGGGGTGAGCCCAGGCCTGTTCCCTCTGCTCCAGGCCTCCCACCTGAGCAGCCAGGGGCCCGTGACAGGGGCTGGAGGCTGCGAGAACTGCCCCAGGTCCGGGTGGGAATGGAGGGACAGGTCCCAGCCTCCTAAGGCTGGCCCTCGACAGGGTGGTTCAAGGGCACATTCTGGGTAGCCTGGCTGGGTGCCCCAGCCTCAGGAAGCTTCCAGGTCCCAAAAGCCGGGCCTGATGCCCATGAGACTGTGCCCTGGAACTCAGAGCAGGAGTCAGGGCAGGTCGCCCCCTGGCCTTGACTAGGGAGGGGTGGTCTTCCCGGCCCCTCCCTGCCCAGCCCCGAGGCCCCGCACGGACAGCGCATCTGGAACCGACGTCAGTGGTTGCCATGGAAACAGGAGCTCAGAGCCCTCCCTCTGGGAGGAGCCACTGGGGCCATTTCTAAGAAGACCCTTGGGCTCAGGGGGTGGAGGGAGGGGTCCCCACTTCTCCTCCTGCAGCCAGGGCTCCCTCTGCCTGTGAAGGGAGCTGGCAGGCTTCTGAGTGTGGGGAAGGAGGTGACCAAAGGGGCCCAGCCTCGCTCCGGGCCCACCAGCCCGAGGTGAGGAGCAAGTTTGTTTCCTGGGGCCCCAACCCTCAGCCTCCTGGACTCCAGGACCAGGAAAGAGCCTCAGTCTCTTGTCTCCATCTCTCCACTCCAAGGCCTGGTCCCAGGCCAGAGGGAGGGGCAGAGGCCAGAGGAAGGGGCCAAGTCCTATCTGGAGGGACAGGTCCTAGCCTCCTAAGGTCTCCATTCCTGCCAGGCCCTGAGGCTTGAGCCACGGACACCCCTCCGCCCCCCATGGCCTCCTCCAGCTCCAAGGCTGTGGCCAGCCCTGCCAGGGACCCAGCTCCCCCCCATCCCCTCCTGTGGGGCTGCGTCTCTGCACCCCATTGAGCTCAAGCAGCCCTGGGCACAGCCAGGTTTCCAGGCTCCCCTGGGCTCTGATGGTGACAATGAGGTGCCCCCAGGGGTACCCATGAGGTTGAGGAGAGTGGCCTGGAGGAGGCCACACAGCCAGGAGGAGGCAGAACCCAGGTTTCCGGGCACCCCCTGCTTCCCCTCACCCCCTGCTTCCCCCTACCCCCTGCTTCCCCTCACCTCCAGCTGGCCCTGCCCCTCCCCCTCTGCCCTTCAGTGGTGAAAGGCAGGGCCTGGGCCTGGGGGCAGAGGGGGTGCGTGGGTTGCCTGGGGTTGGGGACAGGGCTGGGCTGGATCTCCACAGTCTTCCCAGGACACCCCTGTCCCTCAGTGTCCCGTCCTCTCAGGCCCTCCCAGCTCCGGGCCCACGGGTGCCCTGGGCAGCAAACGGCCCTCCTCAGGCCAGTGCGGGGCGGGTCCTTCGGTTCCCCTGCTCTCTCCACCCAGGTCCACACCCGCAGTGGCCCGGCTGTTCAGGGCATGGCGCTCAGCACCTCACCCCCTCCATCCGGGCGCTGGCCCGAGCACCTCCCGTCTCCTCTCTGCCTGTCTGCCAGCTTTGCTGGGTGCCCCCTGTGAGCCGGGCTCCCTTCCTCCTGCCTCGAACCCAGGCCCCTCGGTGTCTCCGGGCTCCCTGTCTGAGCACCTCTCCGGTCCCAGACTCCCCGGGGCCGGGACCCTCCGTGGGCGGCAGCCAGCCGCCTGGGGGAGGCTGCCCCCTCGGCTGGGCCTGCCCCCCGAGGCCCGCCCCGTACCAACCTCCGGCCTGCGGTTGGCGCTGCCCTCCTCCTCCTTCTTCTCCTCGGGGTAGCTGCGCCCCTGGGGGGCCAGGCCCCCCTCGGGGTCCTCCTGGGAGGACGGCCTCCAGCCACGGCGCAGCTGCGGCCCGGGGCCCCCGAAGCCGGAGCCCCGGGGCCGGAAGGAGAGCCTCATGGAGCGGTCGGGGTCGTTCTCGTCCTCCCCCTCCGGCCGCTTGTCCGCCGTCAGCTCCTTGGCCAGCTGGTCCATCTTGCTCCACCGCTTGGCGTCCTCCCACTCCTCGGAGAGCCGCTCATCCTCCGGCTCCGGCTCCCTGCTCTTCCCGCCCCGGAGGAGGCCCTGCGGGGCCCCTGCCATCTCCTCCTCCGGCCGGGACTCCGGGTCCCCCTGCCCCTCGGGGGCCTGAGCTTCCTCAGCCCCAGGCTCTCCGGCTCCGTCCTTGGACCAACCTGGAGCAGGCGATGAGGGGGAAATGGTCACCTTCCCCGGCCCCGCCATGCCCGGCCGCTCCGTGGCCACCGCTGACCACGGGCCCCATCCTGCGGCCAGCATTCTCCTTGGAGGGAAAGCCGTCTCACACCAGGACCTCTCAGAGCCCCGAGGGTGGGTGACTGGAGCCCGCCTCCCCTCAGCCCCAGCTCCTGGGAGCCCGGGACTCGGGGTGCCGTGCTGGGCAGGAGGAAAGACCTGGACAAGGCCCATGGGGGACCCAAGGTCTTTCTTAAACCCTGACTGAAGCTGACCCCGTCCCAGAAATGCCTGTCCCTCTGTCCCCAGGGTCTACCCACTCCCCTGCAAACCCCACCCACGCCCCTGCCAACCCCACCCACCCCCCTGCCAACCCTACCAACTTCCCCTGCAAACCCCACGCACTCCCCCTCAAACCCCACCCACTCCCCCTGCAAACCCTACCCACTCCCCCTGCAAACCCCGCCCACTCTCCCTGCAAACCCGCCCACTCCCCCTGCCAACCCCACCCACTCCCCCTGCCAACCCTACCAACTTCCCCTGCAAACCCCACCCACTCCCACTGCAAATCCCACCCACTCCCCTGCAAACCCTACCCACTCCCCCTGCCAACCCACCCACTCCCCTGCAAACCCCAACCACTCCCCCTCCCAACCCTACCCACTCCCCCTGCCAACCCTACCCACTCCCCTGCCAACCCCACCCACTCCCCTGCAAACCCCAACCACTCCCCCTCCCAACCCTACCCACTCCCCCTGCCAACCCTACCCACTCCCCTGCCAACCCCACCCACTCCCCTGCAAACCCTACCCACTCCCCTGCCAACCCCACCCACTCCCCTGCAAACCCCACCCACTCCCCCTCAAACCCCACCCACTCCCCCTGCAAAGCCCACCCATCCCACCCCGCAAAGCCCCTCCAGCCTCCTGGGTTGGGGGAGGATCTGTGTGGAACAGTGAAGATGCATGGTTTGGAGTCCGACAAACCTGGGTTGGAATTTCAGATTTTACTACAAATTAGCTGTGTGACCTTGGGCAAATGACTGACCCTCTCTGAGCCTTAGTTTCCCATCTGGAAAATGGACATAATGAGGTAGAATGAGATTGTGGATGAGCCCCCCTCCCCCCCACCACCCATCCCCCGCTCTCCTACACATCTGTCGAGGTCTCAGAGATCATACATACTCTTGGCCCTCCGGACCTCCTTGTAGCCAAGGCTTGGGTGGGGGTCAGCTGCCTCGGTGGGGCTTTCTTCCTCAGAGAGAACCTTCTCTCCAGCCTCCTCTTCCTCCTCCTCGTCGTCCTCCTCTTCTCTCCTGGCCTGCTGTCCTTGCTCCGCATCCTGGCCCTCCTCTCTGTCGCCCACACCCTGGGAGGGGCCCTCGCTGCCGCCCTTGGGCGGGGGCCCTGGCTGTTTCTGGCTGGGGAGGCTGGCTGGGGGGTGGGTGTTGGCATCCCCCTCCTCCTCCGGGACCTGGTTGTCCTCGTCCTTGGGCCCCTGCCCGAGTTCCGGGGAGGCCTGGGGCCCGGCTGTGTCCGTGTCTTCACCGCTCTTCTCCGCCTCGTGAGAATCCGCCCTTTTCTCGGCATCCTGGGAGGGCGTCTCTTCTGTCCCTTCTGCAGAAACAACAGAGTGCAGTTGGCACCCAGGGTCTCCCCCGAGCCCGGCGTCAGAGCCCAGACATTGTATCTCTCCGATGCCAACACGTGCAGCCCGGACATCCGGGCAGAATGAGGGCTACCCTCTCCGTGTCTGGCTTTGACCTGGGCACAGATGACCGGTTTCTTTGTGATTCTACCTCTTAAAGAAGGAGATGATAAAAAAAAAAAAAAAAAAAAAAAAAAAGACCTTGAAAGGACGCCAGAAGGTAGAGCCTGAGTGGAGAATGAGGACATCAGCGGAGCCGCTGTGTGACGTGGGGCAGTCCCTAACCTCTCCGTGTAAGAGGCACCCTCACTGAGACCGCTGCCCCTGCCCTGCGGGGCCTGTTTGGAGCCTCCTGTGGACGTGCTCGGTTCTTCAATAGCTGTTTCCATGAAGAGGGTTTCCTTGTGGCTGCTCTGGAGACAGCCATAACAGTGGAAGCCCCTCCCATCACTGGAAAGGTTACCCGGTCCGTCTGGCGCCAGGACTCCTGGGGAAGTGCTCCCCTCCCGCCTACAGAAACTCACACCGATCCTCCCTCGGTGCTCCCCTCCCACCTACACAAACTCACACCGATCCTCCCTCGGTGCTCCCCTCCCACCTACACAAACTCACACCGATCCTCAGTGCTCCCCTCCCACCTACACAAACTCACACCGATCCTCCCTTGGTGTTCCCCTCCCACCTACAGAAACTCACACCGATCCTCCCTCGGTGCTCCCCTCCCACCTACACAAACTCACACCGATCCTCCCTCGGTGCTCCCCTCCCACCTACACAAACTCACACCGATCCTCAGTGCTCCCCTCCCACCTACACAAACTCACACCGATCCTCAGTGCTCCCCTCCCACCTACACAAACTCACACCGATCCTCGGTGCTCCCCTCCCACCTACACAAACTCACACCGATCCTCCCTCGGTGTTCCCCTCCCACCTACAGAAACTCACACCGATCCTCAGTGCTCCCCTCCCACCTACAGAAACTCACACCGATCCTCGGTGCTCCCCTCCCACCTACACAAACTCACACCGATCCTCCCTCGGTGCTCCCCTCCCACCTACAGAAACTCACACCGATCCTCAGTGCTCCCCTCCCACCTACACAAACTCACACCGATCCTCAGTGCTCCCCTCCAACCTACAGAAACTCACACCGATCCTCCCTCGGTACTACCCTCCCACCTACAGAAACTCACACCGATCCTCAGTGCTCCCTTCCCAAAGGTGAGGAGGCCTGGCGTGCTCCTGGGGCCTGTGGCGGCAGGGCTGAGCCCTGAGTCCGTCCCCACCTCCCGGTGCCCAGTCCGGGGTGCTCTTTGCGCTGACACGTGGCTGCTTCCCTTATTGAAGCTTACACACACACACACACACACACACACACACAGACACACACATACACAGACACACACACACACACAGTATACACTGAGTGGCCAGATGATGATGATCTCTGAACGCATAATAATCTGGCCACTCAGTGTATATCCTGTATAATAAAAGTCTAATATGCAAATTGCCTCCTTGACCAGGAGTTCGACCAGCAGGCAGGCGGGCCAACTGCCCATGTCCCCTCCTCCTGGCCAGGCTGGCCGGACCCCACCCATGTACAAATTCATGGACCAGGCCTCTAGTATACACACACACACACACACACACCACTGCCCACCCACAGCCCACAGGCATCCACAGCCATCCAGACCCTCGTTCCCGCGGAGCCAGCGTGGGGTCCATGCCATGCCCCCCGGCCGGCCCCTGAGAGCCCAGCTCTTGGAAATGGCCTTGTTCACCCCCTTCCCCATGCACGGGGCAGGGCCTGCCGGGCAGTCTGTGGAAGTTTGCAGGTGGGAGGGTGAGCACACGATGATCTCTTTGACCCTAAAAGCTCTCTGGTTTCATGGAAGATGATTCATTTGGTTGAAGCATTTGTCCCACACACTAAAAGGTGGTGGGTTTTTCAGTCAAAGCATACTCCTAGGGTTCATGTTCAATTCCTGGACACTCTCTCTCTCTCTCTCTCTCTTCTCTCTCTCTCTCTCTCTCTCTCTTCCCACCCACCCCCTCCTCTTCTTAAAAAAAAATCATCAACGATGACCATATCCCCAAGTGGGGAGTAAAAAGAGAGCTGACCCAGGTTCGTTCAGTGTTTGCAGCCTGCTCCTCTGTACCCTCCTGGGACTGGCGATGCTAAGGCACCGAATCCCAGGAGGCCACATGCTCGGGGCGGGCGCCCTGCGTGGTGCCCACGGGAAAGCCCGCGTCACAGCGGCTCACCTGCCGGCAGAACCCTTCCCGCTCTGAGTGTCGGCCGCCGGTGGGCTTCGGAGTGAGGCAGACCCAGACCCACCGGTGCAGTGATGCCTCGGACAAGGTGCTCGCCCTCTCTGGGCCTCGTTTGTAAACGGAAGGAAGTAGCAGCCAGGAGGGGCTGCTGCCTCCTGGGACCCTCCATCTATCAGGGCTGCTGTTCCTGTCCCCTTACCGCCCCCCTCTGGCCGGACTGGCCAGCACTGACCTCTCAGCTCGGCCTGGTCGTTCTGCTGGTCCTTCTGCCGCTCCAGAAACTTGGAGAGCTCCTCCTCCAAGGTGCTGGGCTTCCTCTCCGGACGTGCCCTCTCCACGGCACCTAGTAGGAGGGAAAGTTCCATTTGGTCTGAGCTGGCACACTTGTCTGTGACGGCGAAGGCCTCCGTTTGCTCATCTGGGCACTGGGCACGCTCGGTCCAGGCCTGCCCGGCGAGAGGCGGAGGCGGTGAGAGCGTGGGGACGGCGGAAGGGTTGGCTGTCCCTGTCCCCTCTGAGCTGGGGCCCATCGGTGGCCATACCGCCTCCAGACTCAGTTTCTCACCTAGGAAATGAGAACAAGCCTGCCTGCTGCCTCACAGAGCGGCAAAGACTCAGATGGAGCAGAGGGTCCCAGGGGCCGAGACAAAGAGGGGGCCCCTTAGGACCTGGCCGGGAGCTAGGGAACCCTGCAGCAGGTGGCAATGGTGACGGTGACCCTCAGGGTCCCCATAAGTCCAGACATTTGGTAGAAAGCCAAGCACGTGCCCGAGTCCAAGCCCAGGGCTGGCACCTGCTGCCATGAGCCACACACCCCCTCTCCCTGCATCAGCCCGAGGCTGCAGCTGCCGCCAGGACTGTCCCCTCCGGTGCCTGGCTCCTGACCGTGGCCCCTGCCCAGGCTCCCGGCCCTCTGCAGCTGGCACTGATGTATCCCCCCAGGCTGGGAGTTTCTGGCATGGCCAAAGGAGCCTGACCCTGTGGTTGTGGGCAAAGGGGTGTGCCCAGAGGAAAGAGGTCCTCTTTGCCACCCAATCTCGAATGTACAGCCCAACTCCAGAGCCTGGGCGGCATTAGGAGAGCTGCGTGCGGTCTCGGCATGTCCCTAGCTCACTGTGTGGCCGTGGGCAAGGCTCTCAGCCTCTCTGGGCCTTGATCTCTTCCACTCTATCGTGGCCGACCTGACCAGGTGGCATGGAGGACCCTGCCGTTCCACTCTCTAGTTCAGTGGTCGGCAAGCCGCGGCTCGTGAGCCACATGTGGCTCTTTGGCCCCTTGAGTGTGGCTCTTCCACAAAACACCACGGCCTGGGCGAGTCTATGTTGAAGAAGTGGCGTTAGAAAGAAGTTTACGTTTTAAAAAAGCGTGGCTCTCCAAAGAAACGTCTATCGTCGTGCTGTTGATATTTGGCTCTGTGGACTGATGAGTTTGCCCACCACTGCTCCAGTTGAACAGAAATAACTGCGGACCAGAGAGAACCCAGACCTTCCGCCCCGACTTCCTGACGCTGGAGTTTGCCCAGATTCACGCGCGGCGGCTGCAAGTACCTTGGGGAGCGAGGTCTTGGAGCTCGTTCAGCAAATTCTGGTGCCGAAGCATCGAGAGGATCCGCTCATCTGCAACGAAGGAGGGTGTCATGGGCCGCGGCCAGAGGACGGCGGGGGAGAGATTGCCATCAACCGTGTCTGCTGAGCATGCAGACTTCTTTCTGGAAACGCAACGCCTGGGTGGCAGCGGCAAGATGGGGTCTTGCGATAACACTTTAGAAATGACCCCTTTTCCAGGTGTCCATCAGCGTCCTACCATGGCAGAAAGGTCAGCACTGTCCCCGCACCCAGACCCTGGCCCAGAGAGGGCAGCCCCAAGCTGAGGTCCCCGCCTCCGTGCCTTGGCTCATGCTGGCCGACTCCCCACCCCGAGTGCCCTTTCTCCATTCTTTCACCGATTGGTTTCCAACTTTTAACTGCCAGCCCCAATGCTGATGTTGGCTCCATCCAACAGCTGCTCAAAACTTGACTGCCTGCGTAACAAAGCTTTCTCCTCCTGCCCACCTGCAATGCTGCTTTTCTCATCACTTGTCTATAAGGCGTCTGCCAGGTGCCAGCAGCTGTTCTTGGCACGGGGGCTGCAGCACCCAAAACCCCCATCCACAGGGAGCTTGCGTTCTGGCGGCTGCTGTTCCAGACCTGGTTTCATTCTGCGCAGAGTCCTGACTGACTGTGTTCCTATTTGTCCTTCTGCCCATCTGTACGCACGGGGCCCGGACCTCCTCCATCTCCCTGGACCCCTCAGGCTGCAGCACAGGCCTGGGCGAGGCTGGCACTTGGTCGGGGACAGTTGAGTTAAATCATGGAATTCCACCAAAAGCCACACCCCCATGCCCTAGCCCTCCAGCCCAGCAGGCAGCAGCCCCTCCCCCAGCCCAGCCCATACCTGCTCGGAGTGTCTTAGAACACTTTGTGCTCACGGGCCTGGGGCCGGGATTGGCCAGCGTGTCAGAGATCACCTCAACGAAGCACTTCATCAACTGGAAAGAGAGTGGGGCAGTTGGGGTGGGTTCGGGCATGGCACTCAGCCCCTGAAGGCTCCAGGGCAGATTCCTAATGAGGCCATAAGGGCATTTGCTCTTGTCTCCAAGAGCTCATGAATGCCAGGCTCCAGGGCACAGCTCTGCTCTCTCAGACAACAATAGCAACGACCAGAGAAAACCCTCAGACGGTACTTCCGCACCAGGCACTCCAATCCCCTGGCCAGCAGATGCCTCTCTGAGGGGGGTGGGTACCTGGGGCCTTCTCGTCTCCAGGGGTTTCTCTAATGAGGGGGAAACTGCTCCCGGGCATCAGACATCTGTTCTGCAAAAGCATCTTCGTCTTGCAGATGCCCACAGAATCAGCTCTGTCCAGGAAGCCTTTCTGGACCACCCAGAGGAGAACAAAGATCTTCCCTGGCGCCACCCTGGCTGGGAACAGGACCTGGATGCCTGTCCTCCAACATCCCCAGGTTGTCCCATGCCGGGGTAACAGCCGCATGGTCTGGCTCCACCCTCATGCCGGGATGAACCTGCTGGCTGGAGGTGGGCACCATTGGCTAGCTCTGGATGTCCACCCCAGGCCCTCTCTCGGAAGGTGCTGTGGACAATGGGGCACCTGATAAATGGATATTGGAGGATGGTGGCAGCTCCAGTGTGGTACCCTAGCAGTGTTATCTTGGGGATGACCTCTCTGAGCCTCAGTTTCCTTACTTGTGAAATGGGAGTGAGAAGAACCTCCGAACAACCCTCCCAGGGTGACAAGGCACAGATGGGAAAACACTCTATAAAGCTCAAGTGCCACACACACCCAGGGAGAGAGACACAACTCCCAACCTGCTTCAGCTGGCTAGAGCTGGGGGAGGGGGGGAAGCAGGGCAGGGCAGGGGATGTCAGATAGGCATCAGGCAATGCTGGCAGGGAGAGAGGGCGTGGAAGGCTGTGTCTATGGGATACCAAGGCAACCTGTCCAGGGATGCAGGATGGCAAGCTGGCAAATAGGCTATACAACTGTCTCAGCATCCTGGGGATGGAACGTTCGGGCCTCTTACAGCTGTTCTGGGGCCCCTGACCCCAGGCTCCAGCGTACAATACGGTGACCTCAATGTTTCCCAGGAGGGATCTGGTGAGGAGGGCCCTTCAGCCTGCCCCTTGCATCTCCCTGCAGCCCCAGACCTTGCACCGGGAACAGCAGACAACCCAGAGATCCAGAGACCAGATTCCAAGAGATAGACACTGGGTCTGGGCCCCAGGAACAATAGGGAGATTCAGGAGGGAAGCTCTAGACATAACAGCGCCCGTTTACTGAGGACCTACTGTGTGCCGGTACCTCACCTCTGCCTCCTACCCCTCACAACTCCCCACAAGGAAAATACTGTTACAGGTGGGAAAGGGAGAAGCTCAGAGACGTTAAGAGATTTCCCCAAAACCTCACAGCTAGAACGGGCGGTGGAGGTTTAATACAGGCTGAAGCATAGGAACCGCAATGGAGCAAATGGATGCCGCTCTGGGATGGAAGGAAACGACTCCTGGGAAGGTGGGAAGCAGACGTTTACCCGCCTCTCAGGTGGAGGTATCTGTGAGTACCAGAGGCTGGACAAGAAGCCCCAGCTCAGGAATGAACTTCCAAGTGTACACCGAACAGGAAGTACCTCTCGCCGGCTACAGAGCCTCCATCACGTCTCCTAAGTCTCTTTCCCAAGTGACATCCACTGTCAGCACCACCTGGCTGGGGCCCGGGGTGCAGAAGCCATCGACCCAGGGTGTGTCCTGAGTGCCTGTGGGGTGGGGTGTGCTGCTGGGTGGGGGTGGGGGGAGAAACAAAGGGGGAGGGGACGACCTGGCTCTCCCCTGTCTGTGGACAACCACAACCACCGGACAGAGAAGCCACCCCCAGCAGCCCTCGGCGGGTCTGCCGGATCCGGGCTGTTCGATGGTGGGTCTGGCACCCCAGCCCAGCAGGTAAGACACGAGCCCCACTGGGCTGCAGACTCAGCTCCGAGGACGCAGTGGAGCAGTCTTTGGTCTTTTGGTTCGCTAGCTGTCCCAGGCTCAGCAGCCGCAGTGCTGGCTCCTGGCTTTCTGCCGACTCACTTCTGCAGCTGCCCAAGAACTGGCTGTAAGGTGTCCCCTGGAGCCTCCTACCCCTCTGAGGGCATCCCCACACCCCTCCTTACCTCGTCGTCAAATTTAGTCATAGGGCCGTTCACAGGGAGGGCCATAACTGGCAAGAAAAAGAGAGAGAGAAAGAGAGAGCTAGGGTCACTTCTCTGTCCTGAGGGGAGAGCCCAGGCCTTGGCCAGGTTCACCAAGGGCCCATCACCTCTTTGCTCCCCCTCAAAACTGCCCCCACCCAAGCGAGATGCTGGGGCTGGTTTCGTTCCCCGCCCCTGGCAGCTGCCCCGTGAGGGTGTCTCGCAGAGGCTGCACCTGGGAGCCTTAGCCCTTCCCTTTGGGGAAGCTGCTCAGAACGGGAGCTGAAGGCAAGCGTGAAAACAAGGCCCAGGGCTGAAGGGCTTGGGGCGGGAGGAGGATGCAGGGAGAGGTGGCGAGACCTGGCGGCGAGGGAAAAGAGATGGAGGAGGAGGAGGGGTGTGAGATGGCAAGGAGAGGAAGAAGTCAAGGGCAGGAATACGGGCGAGCGGTGGGATGGAAGAGGGAGAGAGGCAGAGCGGGAGCCAGCAGCAGCCCTCCCCTCTCCCCCAATGACCTTGGCCAGCCCGGACGCCCGGCCCAGGTATGAGGTGGAAGCACCTAGGGGCCCGGAGTCCAGCCCAAAGGAAGGATCGGTCTGCGGGTTCTGGGCCCAGGACACCGAGCTGGGTCTGCAGGGAGGCGGGCGCTGTCCGCGGTGCTGAAACTCGCTGCGCGGAGGGGAGGGACCGAGGGGCCGGGCGCTGCGCGGGGCCGGACGCAGGGCAGGCAGGGCCGGAGCCACAGGGGCGCCCAGGACCCTCTCCCCCACACTCCGCTCACCTTGCCCGGCGCACAGCAGAAGCGCCAGGGCCGCTGCGGAGCGCATGGCGGAGCCGGGACGCCGAGCAACCGGAGGTCTGGGGCCGGGCGCGGTGGGCACCCGGGCGCGGGGTGGTTGGACGGGCGGTGCGGGATGGGCGACCGCAGGCGCTAGCGCGGGGATGGGGGTCGCAGAGTCTGCCGGTGCACCCACCAGCCTCCCTGCACAGAGTTGCGACACTGCAGTAGCTACAGCAGAGGCGTGCGCGCCCGCTTGCCACTTATATACCCCACCCCGGAAATGACGTCATCGGACCGCCCCTGCCCCTGGCTCCGCCCCTCTGGGGTCCAGCCGCCGTTAGTTCCACCCCCATCCTCGCCCCTCTGGCCCAGGCTGCGCACACAGCTAGTAAGTCTGGCTACGAGGCAGGCATCTGGCTTCCAGGAGGTGGCACCGGGGACGTGGCGGATTCTCCTCCACTCAAGGCTCCACGGACTTGCTGTGTGTCTTGGGCAAGACACTCCTGGTCTCTGGGCCTCAGGTTCCTCCCCCGCGCGGTGAAGTCCCTGCCAGTCCTCGCACAGCACGCCATCCTTCCTCCGACCAGGGCATGCTCCCCCTGACCTCCATTCAGGGGCTCCCGACCCCTGTCTGAGTAAGGCCTCTCTCTGGCAACCCAATCTGTGCCTTCGTGACTTGTCATTGTACCATATATCTATATTTTTATTATATTTGAATAACATTCTGTCTGCATGGCTCCCACAGTGCTCAGCACAGCGCCTGGCACAGAGACGCATGTAAGAGATGATGTTGAATATACTGAGTGGTAGTTCAACCCGTGCTTGAGCGAGTCCTGGGCTCTGGCCATTGTTGGGCCGCTCTCGGGGGAGTGGGGGGGAGCGGTGAGGGAGGGGTGGGGGCCAGCTCTTGTTGTCAAACCAAAAGAGGTGGGCTTGAGACTTTACTCAGTAGCCCTGATCAACCCCTTAGGACCACCTTCGTGCCGCTGTGACCCATCCTGTGCTTGAGAACAGCTCTCACCTCTTGAGCGTTCTCAAACCCCGAGTGTCCTGTGTAAGGTTGGTTCCCTGGCTTGTTTCCCTCTGCCCTCGGGCCCTCGTGCTCGGCCACATGTGTAAGGCGGTGGGTGGTCACTGCCCAACTGCCGTGAAGAAAGCTGAACCACTTTCCAAGGGAGTGGGCTTCTCTCATGGAAACTTCCAGAGCCGCTGCCAGCCTCTGGGAATGTCTGTTCTCCAGGAGCCAGACCCTGTTTGTCATGAGACTGAGCATAGTCAGCAAAGATGTCCCAAACCAGGCTTTGTGAGTGACAGTGACACTCGTTAGCATTGCTCTGTGCATCCTAGCTGATGGCCCATCGCTGATGCCTCCCAGCACCCTGGGCCTACATCAGAGAGGGACTGGATTCTTCTTTGCAAGTTTGCAAATGGCAGAGACCCGGGAAGCGGCAGTGAGCACCACGGCAAGTGAATGGGGATGTTGGATGTAGAGCTTGTCTTGCCCAAATGCCCTATGTGTCCAGCCATCTCATGACCTCTCACCTGCCATTCCCTCTCTCTGGAAGGCCTCCCATTACTATCCACCCCTCCCCTGCAGCCTGGCACACTTCCACACCTCCGAAGTCCTGAGGAAATTGCTTCCTTTTCTTGCCTCCACAACACTTGTTGGAGTATTCATCACCAAAGATTGAAAGCATTTGCCTTTAGGCCCTGACCAGGTAGCTCAGTTGGTTAGAGCATCGTTCTGATATACCAAGGTTGCCAGTTCGATCCCCCATCAGGGCTTGTACAAGAAGCAACTAATGAACGCATAAATAAGTGGAACAACAAAAGGGTTTCATCCTGGGAGGGTGCACACTGTGGTGTAAGCACACCTGTTGACTTTCCTTCTCACTCCTCCTCCCTCTGCCCTCCCCCTGGGTCCTTCCCCCCTTCTCAACCTGGAATTCCCGTGAACCCTGTCCAACCCCACGGGCTCTGTCTGGGGTGAGGTCTGACAGCTCCCTGAGCCTCGATGGTCCTCAGTCCTGCAGCCACACGGAGCTCAGTGCCCCTCACGCCTCACTCACACCGTCTCAGGCCTTAATAGCTTTCCCTCCACCCCTGGCTCTGGGCTTGATTGTCCTTTTTTTTAACTTTAGTTTAGGTTTTTTTTTCAACTTCAGTTTACATTCAGTATTATTTTGCATGAGTTTCACGTGTGCAGCAGAGAGGTGAGACAATCATATACTTTACAATGTGTTCCCCTGATATTTCCAGTTCCCACCTGGCACCTACATAGTTATTACAATGTGACTAACCCTGTTCCCTGGGCTGTATTTCCCGTTCCTGTGACTTTTCCATAGCGACCAACCTCTATCTCCCATCCCTTCACCTTTCACCCAGCCCCCTCCTCTCTGTCTGTTCACTGTACCTCTGAGTCTGTTTCTTTCTTTCTTTAAAAAAAAAATTATATATATATATATATAATTGATTTTTTACAGAGAGGAAGGGAGAAGGATAGTTAGAAACATCAATCAGCTACCTACTTTACACCTCCTATCGGGGATGTGTCCACAACCAAGGTACACACCCTTGACCACAATTTAGTCCACAGGCCAATGCTCTATCCACTGAGCCAAACAAGTGAGGGCTGTTTATGTTTTGTTGGTTCATTTATGTTGTTTTTTAGAGTCACATGTAAATGAAATCTTGTCTTTTTAATCAGTTTGGAGGGTGGCTCTGTAGACTCCCGCCCTCCTTAGGAGGTGCCTTGTGAAGCCGAGCTGCAGTGGGGGGTGGGAGAGCCCCAGACTCCAGGGTCAGCTGGTCACAGAACTTCCCCGGAGCCGGCCCTTCCCACGCTGTGCCCAGTGCGCCCCCCTGAGGGAGGCACGCTGTGCTGAGTGTGACGGAGCTGAACCACGATAGCTGACCCTCCGCACGCATCGGCTGCCTTTCTCTCCCCAGGCCTGCAAGGAAGTGCTATCTTTCTCCCTCATAGACTGAGTGGGGGCGGAGGCTTAACGAAGTCGCCAAAAATGCTAAGTGGCCACACAGCCTGGGCGGCAGAGGCAGGACTCGGCCTAAAGCGGTAGTGCGGGGCGCAGGAACGTAGACGGTTCTTTCTTGTAGATAAAGAGGGCAAGTGCTGGTATCACCTGGTAAGAGGCAGCGGAGACACAGAGACCCCCTGTCCCCAGTCACTCAGCAAATCAGCAGCGGATGTGATGGGAGCCAGGCTCTCCTTGCCCGCCCCAAAGTTCTCCTTCCAGAACAAGGCTGCCTTCCTCCGAGGTCCTCTGGTGGCTACAGGACGGCCGCCCGGCCTTTCCCGGGTGCCAGGGGTCTTGCGGAGGCGTAGTCTCTTTTCACCCGCTCTCCCGGAGCTGTCAGGGGGCTGGGAAGGGGAGCAAACGTTTTCTGAGCATCTCCTGTGCTCCGGGCTCCGTCTGGACGCTTGGAACGTGGTGTGCTCCCGGCTGGGAGACGGGCAGTGAACAGCAGTGAGAGCTTGGAAGGCAGCGAGGCTGTGAGAACAGGAAGAGCAGCCCTGGCCGGTGTGGCTTGGGGTTGGGTGTCAAGCCGCACATGTTGTAGTGTAACCCCCATCTTACAAAGGACGCCTCGAAAAGTCGAATTCTGGAGTCATTCATTAAAGGTCCGCGGCATACGAGGGAGCAAAAACTCCAGACCTCGCAGCCCTGAACAGCTTGCCACCTCTGGCTTTTATTGCCAGAATATCACAAAGGTATCGATCACATCTTTGGGTCGGGAATGAAGAACCAGTTGCGTGCAAAGCTTTTACAGAAGCAAAACTGAGCAAATAAGTTAGCTAAAGTATCTAAGAATCACTGAATCAACAGAAACTCAGTATCTGGGACCACCTGGGCAATTTAGAATAACTGTGCTGTCCAGAGGGGCAGCCGAGGCTGGGATGACGGGACCACTGAGTCCACCAGAATGCATTATCTGTAGCGACTGTGGCAATTTAGGGTCTGTTCTGCTTCCGGGACCACTGAGTCAACTGAAACGCAGTTATCTGTAGCTACTGAGACCATTTAGGACAATTGAGCTGATCTGGTTCTCAGAAGAATGTGCTTCGATGACCAGTGAGATCACAATCAATGGGATATCCAAACCATCATCAATGGAGTATCAGGATCCAGAAAATCAAAATAACTTTCTATTGTTTTAGCACACAAGTAAGTACAGAGCCCAATCAGCAGTTTCTACCTGAGATGACTGCCGCCATCCTTCACCCTGACAGGCCACGGGTTCATTTCCTGGTCAGGCACACAGATGCCCAGTGGCAGGCTGATCCCCGGTGGGGGGTGGGGGGGGGTGCAGGAGGCAGCTGATCGATGTTTTGCTCTCGCATCCATGTTTCCCTCTCTTTCTCTTACTTCTTCTCTCTCTAAAAAATTAATTTAAAACAAGAGAAGAGCAGAGCAGGGTGAGGGGCTTGGGACTAGGGCGGGAGAAGTGGCCTCCTCAAGCAGGTGGCAGGAGAGGCCTGGCTGAGACCCTCACTTAAGCGAGGCCTCCAAGGGCTTGAGGGAGGGAGCCCCGTGGCTTCCCGGGAGGAGAGCGTCCAGGCAGAACGCAGAGCCGGAGCCAGGGCCCTGGGCCGGGTCAACGGACAGGTTTGAGGCAGAACCAAGGCCCGAGGCGGCGGGAAGAGGGCGAGTGGGGGGTGCTGGGTGAGGCGGGATCGGGCCGGATTGTGCAGGGCCTCGTGGACGGGAGGGTTTGGGCTTTGACTCTGAGAAACAGGAGTCATTGGGAGAAGAGGGGCAGCCGAGGCTGGGATGACGGGATGCCCAAGGGCATTTTATGGAGGTGCCTGCAGTCCTCGCTGGCTCCCCGCTGCCCCCACACCCACCATCCCAGGCACCGCAGAGAGGCCTCCGCACACAGAGAAGCCATGCCACCGCCTGTCCCAGGGGCCAGGAAGGCCCCCTCGGGGAGCACCAGGCCCCAGAGGGCCGGCTGCTCGGACATCTTCATGCGGGAGCTCTGCCAGGGCCCTGGGAGCCCTCTCTCCCGCGGGGAAAGTGGCAGCTG